ACTCTGGATGTATATATTTTGGCCGTTATTCTAGGCAAAAGTGCATTCATGTATATTTATACTGACATCGACTGAACATGTACAAGCATGTCAAATCGTGCAATGTTGAGATATTCTGTTTATTCAACGAAAAAGTATATTATTTTTGTACAATAACATTTTAAAGTTTAGTAGCAAATAACTGCATACTCAAAAGTGCTCAATTTAATGTTGGATGTTTTCCCGTGAATTAGAAACGTCACCTCCACTTACAACTACCATGCATGCGTACATGTAAGTTTAATATTCATAAAACAATATCCACCTCGATAAAAACGGGGGGGGGGGGTATTGCAAACCAAGCTAGTGTTTATTCGGCTATCAAAATACATAAAACTTACAATGAATAAATGTACAAGCGATTACGATTGATTTAAACAAGCTGAAATAGAGTGAAATGAAATGATATGAAAGAAACGACATATTTTAAACCCAATTTTCCATTTGTAACTATCGGAGAACACAATGGATTTTCATATATGCCCACTGTTCTCTGCAACCACGTGCTTGTAAACGAGGACCGGTGTCATATAATATATTGAACCCCGCGATATTTTGAACCCGGGTTCAAAATATCGCTGCGAAATATTGAACCCCCCTATAAAATATTGAACCCGGGGTTCAAAATATTATGGCCATAAAATATTGAGTCCCCTGCCCTTTTAACTTTACAGGGAGGGGGTTCGAAATATTATGGCCATAAAATATTGAGTCCCCCTGCCTTTTTAATTTATGAGGGAGGGGGTTCAAAATATTATGGCCATATATTATTAAGTCCCCCTGCCCTTTTAATTTAAGAGGGAGGGGGGTTCAAAATATTATGGCCGTAAAATATTGAATCCCCCTGTCCTTTTAATTTAAGAGGGAGGGGGTTCAAAATATTATGGCCATAAAATATTGAGTCCCCTGCCCTTTTAAATTTACAGGGAATGGGGGTTCAAAATTTATGGCCATAAAATATTGAGTCCCCTGCCATTTTGATTCATGAGGGAGGGGGTTCAAAATATTATGGCCATAAAATATTGAGTCCCCCTACTCATTCAAATTAACAGGGAGGGGGGGGGTTCAAAATATTATGGCCATAAAATATTGAGCCCCCTGTCCTTTTCATTTAAGAGGGAGGGGGTTCAAAATATTATGGCCATAAAATATCGAGTCCCCTGCCCTTTTAAAATTTACAGGGAAGGGGGGTTCAAAATATTATGGCCATAAAATATTGAGTCCCCTGCCCTTTTAAATTTTAAATTTTAAATTTACAGGGAATGGGGGTTCAAAATTTATGGCCATAAAATATTGAGTCCCCCTCTTAAATTAAAAGGGCAGGGGGATTCAATATATATAATGGCCATAATATTTTGAAGCCCCCTCCCTTCAAATTAAATGGGCAGGGGGACTCGATATTTTATGGCCATAATATTTTGAACCCCCTCCCTGTAAAATTAAAAGGGCAGGGGGACTCAATATTTTATGGCCATAATATATTGAACCCCCTCCCTCTTAAATTAAAAGGGCAGGGGGACTCAATATTTTATGGCCATAATATTTTGAAGCCCCCTCCCTTCAAATTAAAAGGGCAGGGGACTCAATATTTTATGGCCGTAATATTTTGAACCCCCCTCCCTGTAAAATTAAATGGGCAGGGGGACTCAATATTTTATGGCCATAATATTTTGAACCCCCTCCCTCTTAAATTAAAAGGGCAGGGGGACTCAATATTTTATGACCATAATATTTTGAACCCCCCTCCTTCATGATTTAAAAGGGTAGGGGGACTCAATATTTTATGACCATTAAATTTTGAACCCTCCCTCCCTAATAAATTAAAAGGGCAGGGGGACTCGATATTTTATGGCCATTATATTTTGAACCCCCTCCCTGTAAAATTAAAAGGGCAGGGGGACTCAATATTTTATGGCCATAATATATTGAACCCCCTCCCTCTTAAATTAAAAGGGCAGGGGGACTCAATATTTTATGGCCATAATATTTTGAAGCCCCCTCCCTTCAAATTAAAAGGGCAGGGGACTCAATATTTTATGGCCATAATATTTTGAACCCCCCTCCCTGTAAAATTAAATGGGCAGGGGGACTCAATATTTTATGGCCATAATATTTTTGAACCCCCTCCCTCTTAAATTAAAAGGGCAGGGGGACTCAATATTTTATGACCATAATATTTTGAACCCCCCTCCTTCATGATTTAAAAGGGTAGGGGGACTCAATATTTTATGACCATTAAATTTTGAACCCCCCCTCCCTAATAAATTAAAAGGGCAGGGGGACTCGATATTTTATGGCCATTATATTTTGAACCCCCTCCCTGTAAAATTAAAAGGGCAGGGGGACTCAATATTTTATGGCCATAATATTTTGAACCCCCCTCTTTGTAAAATTAAAAGGGCAGGGGGACTCAATATTTTATGGCCATAATATTTTGAACCCCCCACACTCTTCAATTAAAAGGGCAGGGGGACTCAATATTTTATGGCCATAATATTTTGAACCCCCTCCCTCTAAAATAAAATGAGCAGGGGGACTCAATATATTATGGCCATAATATTTTGAACCCCCTACCTCTTACATGAAAAAGGTAGGGGTTCAATATTTTATAAGGGGGTTCAATATATCGCAGCGAAAAAGTGAACCCGGGTTCAAAATATTATGCGATATTTTTAACCCGGGTTCAATATATCGCGGTATCAAAATATTATGCTACACCGGGCAACACAACTTTAGACACAAAGCGACAAAGCTGGATATAACCTGTTTGCTATACCGGTATTACAAATACGTGAACAATAGTATATTATAAATTACTTTTTATGTTCAATGTTTATTTAATCTTTAAAAAAATGATACCCCGGTAAATGGAGAAACAAAAGAGTGATCATGGTAAAAATAAAACGTACATATACAATATTACCTATCACTATCCATCACTAATTATAATTATTTGCCGAAGCCCCTTCTCAATTACAATTGAAATAAAATACATTAACACAGAATAGAGTTTTTTTTCTTTATTTTGCGAGAACAGGCCAAAGAAAGCGAACACAGTTCAAAATGATTTTATGCACCAGTGTTCATGTGGTGTTTGGAATTACGATTAAATATGAAAGATGGGTAAAATAATCTTATTGAATCGCGATGTAGTTAAAAACACAGTTTTCTATTAATTGTTAAGTCTTTCTACACAATGGTCTAATACAATCACAAACACTTGCTTTGTTTATTTTGCGAGAACAGGCCAAAGAAAGCAAACACAGTTCAAAATGATTTTATGCACCAGTGTTTGGAATTACGATTAAATATGAAAGATGGGTAAAATAATCTTATTGAATCGCGATGTAATTAAAAACACAGTTTTCTATTAATTGTTAGGTCTTTCTACACAATGGTCTAATACAATCACAAACACTTGCTTTGTTTATGTCCACAGGTGCCTGGTACACTCGTGACCTAGATCGACAGCGTGGGATTTGCGGCTATGATTACATAACTGTAAAACATCTCGCTGAACAATGGGATCGTAATATGTATACAACTAATGATCGTGAATTATTCAATGTATAAAGTTTAAGATTAATTATATAGTTTGTTACAATGATAAAGGTAGAAAGGTGGATTTTATATCTTCCGCTTTTAAAGACGTGTTCACTATAAAACTAATTAAATTTTATAAAGAAAAATAGAAAAAGTAGTTGTAATCCATGATTTAATAGTTAATCATAAAACACGTTTAAACCTTATTTTGAAGAAAATCAACATAAAATACCGTAGGGTATATTATTTACAGCAAGTTATACACATGATGAGGTCAGATTTACTTGCCGAATGAAAACGCTACATGTTTACCTGACCTGCTTTCGACTGTATATTATGCAATAACCCCGGTATATTCGAACAAATAAACATTCCTATCAGATCAAAAGGGTGTTAAAGAACAATTTTGCTCGTAATATCTAGATCGAAATATTTACCGTTTTTGAGTTATAAAGCAAAAACTTTCAAGCTCCAGAGATCCCTTATTTTAGGGGCCAGCCCCTTTTCTTTAGTATTAAATGAAAGCCCTAGCAATTATGCACAACTTTTGTTCAACATGTCTTAACAAAATATTTTTAGTTTTCAAGATAAAAAGGAAAACATGTGTAAATTTTCGCTCTTTCAGGCATTCTATTTTTTTGACCCCTGTATTGCGCCATTTTGAATAGAGAAATCGAAAAACAAAAACCGATGTGCACAACTTCAATCCTTCTGTTATCTAAAACCAGTAAAATTTCTGCTCCAGCTCTAGTGGTCTCTGAGCCTTTGTCTGGAAATGAAAGCCTATAATTTTTCGTTTAAAGGGAAATAACTCAAAACCGGAAGTGACTTTTTGAAATTATTGACAGCATTCTGATAGAGTTTATTACTGTCTATAATGTCTGAAAATTTGAACAAAATCCATTAAAAAATGAGCGAGATACGAGGCCTCAAAGTTGGCGTCTAGGAAGAAAAAAAAAAAAAGAATAATAAGAATAATCTTAATCTTCAGAATCAGTAGAAGGTCTTCCGTTGGAAACGGAAGACCTTAATAATCTTAATCTTCAGAATCAGTAGAAGGTCTTCCGTTGGAAACGGAAGACCTTAATAATGGCTTAGTTGTTATTGAGAGGAATATTTTGAAGATATTTCCTATGTGATAATATGTATGATCAGGTACTTACACTTGATATATAGGTTTTCCTTTTACTCTGTCTGATGGTAAATCACAGTGCTTATAAATTACCTACAGAGGGGACTGAGTAAAGTACTATTTGCACAGTTTTTCCTCTAGATTCTTAGTGATAGATAAAAACCAGTTGTCTAAATTTCCCCTAGATTAACTACACTCAGAACTTAACATCAATTCTCTTGAATACTTGGATTCCCGAGAATGCTTTGTACCAACAGTGCTTAAAATTGGTCCAGTGGTTCTTGAGAAGAAGTTAAACATGGTTAAACATGTGAAAACTTTATTGATGAATGGACAGCTGGACAGACAGATAAATAAACAGGTGATCAGAAAAGCTCGCTCGAACTTTCAGTTCAGGTGAGCTAAAAGTCAAACTCAAAGCCTTACCTTCGAAGATATGCTGATGGAGACATAATGCTGAAAAAGAAGAGTAAAAGTCAAGAATAGATCAGTAAATAAATAGAATTTAATTTATTCTAATTCATTTTTTTTGGGGGGGGGCTAGCCCACCCACACTTTTTTGCAAAGATAGACATAATATAAGCATTGAAAATTGGGATTTACCTTTTTTGTTGGTTTAGCCCCCCCCCCCCCCCACTACCACCACTTTCAATTTGCTTTTGATGCCTTAGTCCCATTTAATGATAGGTTAACAAAACTGAGTGTAACATTGCCTACCTTCCCTTACAGATTTTCTTTTACTTTTTGTCACCCAAGCCACAGCAATAATGTATACCACCACTATCAGTAAGAATATAACAACAAGTAAAATCCATATCCATGTGCTAATTAAATGAAAAAAAAATTAAAAATCTTTTAAAAAGAGTTTTTTTAAAGACATTTTAAAAATATTGCAAATAAGATTCTGAAATACAATATTTCAATGCCTCACAAACAAAAATGAAAAGTAAAATGTAAGGTTTACTTGTTACTCTTCCCTGTTTCTTTAGAGATTCCATCAGCTGATACATGTATATTTTGAACTGTGGTGACACTTGTTGGTTTTAATACATCAGAAGAAGAAATAGTTGTTGGAATGCTAGTATTATAACAAGCTGAATCTGAAATTAATTAATATCTTCTGACAATTTCAAAATCAATGAAAGTAAAGGGACCCTTTTTAATTGATATTTTTTCTTCAGACTGTAGAATGCTTTTAAGTTTATTATTCAAATACAACATGACATTTTTATGCCCCCGGATCAAAAGATCTTGGAGGTACACTTAGATGAACAGTTTAATTTGCTAAAACCAGCCAGACCAACCTTACAAAAAAAAAAAATACCATACTTAAACCTTGGCCATAACTTTTGAATATTTGGAGCTAGTGCTTTAATCCCTCACAAGTGTATTCAATGTGACAAGACCTTTCAGCTGGTATTATTTTTTTTACCTTGACTGTATTCTAAGAGTTTGACCCACTTTTTAAAAACTTTAACCTTGGTCATAACTTTTGAACTGTTAAAACTAGGGCTTTCATATTTCACAGGTGTATTCTTTGAAACAAGACCTTCCTTTGGGTAACAACACTTTTGACCTCTTTATCTTGGAATTTGACATGCATTTGAGAGAATTAAACCCTCGCCATAAGCTGCCATACTTGGGCATCAGTGTTTCACAAACACATCTTGTTTGAGCTAAAATTATTAAAAAATATTTCATTTTCAAAACCTGATGATTCTTGGAATATTCTGAGAACCAGTGTCTCTGTAATTCTGACTGACCATAGCAAACAATGCAAAAGTTGGAAAAATCACAAACTTACATATTAAACATTTTGTGGTAGCTCAGATTAAACATGTAAAAAGCAAAAGCTTTATAGCACTTACAGTTATAAGCATCTTTTGAACTATAAAATGGGAGACACATGCTGCTACTGCTGCAATCCCTCTTATAATCATCTCTCACATATGGTTGATCTTCATAAAAATGTGGACAGAATCCTAGGAAAGAAAAGTGTCCATCTTAAAACTCATACACTTAGATGAACAGTTTAATTTGCTAATTACCCTGGTAAAGTTTACATATGCTAGTAATTAATGCATTTGGTTAGTTGATTATAAATAATTGGGGATCAAATTACTTATCTTCATATATAATTACAATTATAAAAATGTTGGCTGACAATTGCAGTATAAAGTCAGAATTTCAAGATACAAAACAGATATATTTCGTAAAACATATAAATAAATAGAAAGTAATCATGAAATAATGCATGCATATGCTCCCAGTATCAACCCAAATCTCCAGTATCAGCCCAAAAGCCAGTCTAGCAAATGAAAAGTTGACCACACTGGCAATGTGAGCTTAATTGTTTGTTCCTTATAAGATATTAAAGCAAGTGCTACATTTGCATTCCTTAGAATACTCTTAAGTTATTATTATCCCCTTGCAACAAAGTTGGAGGAGATATAGTAATGCAATAAATTAATATATATGTTCTTTGGTAAGCCAATTAGTGATGTGTGACATGGAAGTGACAAAATTTGCTTTAGGATCAATTGCTGTCTCGATTTAAGATTTGCTCTTTGCAAGGGGATGCTCTGCTTTGCAGTGCTCTTGTTGCATTATGGAACTTCATATCATGTACAGTATTATTAAACTTGATTCACTTCATAGTTTTGCTTATCAATAATTATCTTTTTTTTTTTAATCAAATATATGATTTATTATTCATGCTATTTTTGAAAATGCCTTTCACCTGTCAATAAACAGATATATAGTTATGACAAAATTTTCTTTGCTATATATTACATAAAATACAGGAACACATGCATTTACTTGTACATGTAAAAGCAAAACATGCAAATGATATTCCATATACATAATATTATATATCCATATTAAATTACCCTTCAAATTTCTAGGAACTGTGCATACTTCCACCATTTTTTTAGTAACTGCATGTCGTAAGCAGTGGTATGTGACATTTTCACAGTTTTTAGTCATCTTTATCTTGCTGCAGTCCATTCTCTTTGCTGCAGCCTGCCATTCTTCTTTATTGAGTGGACAAGAAGAAACATTTCTCACTGTATTTAATGTCTCATTACAGTGCTCACCCAAGGTAAACTACAAAGTATAAGTTATTTTGCTTGAATACTTTTATATACAATTATAAAACAATATACATACTTAAGGAATGTTACGTTTTTAAGTTTTGTGTGAGTTATTGGTGTGTTAGTAACACAGACTTGTCAGCAGGTGCCATTCTAGCGCTTCATGAAAAATAATGACTATGTGCAAGTCCATGTGATTTACACACCGATAATTCACAATAAACTTATAAACATCCCTTACATTTACAGTTTACTAGGTTAAAAATTAAAGCACTCAAAATATACTCATTATTTGAATTTCTGTCTGCCTTCCATTAGTGTTGTCATGAGGGGGCTTTAGTTGACTCAGTTTTGATCCTAATTGTCTCTGTAGCCTTATTATGACATCATTCGGCATGAGTGTCAAAGTCTATATTTCTAAGCGTGAGTATACACAAAAATGCGTTTTAAATCAAAAAATGGTTTAGTAGAAAAACACAGCAAATGTAAATATATACAAATAAACATATTTAGTCTCGTTTTCCCCAGACTCTCGCTCTCGAGACTTTGCCCGAGCGAGAGTCTGGTCTGATTCCTATTTAATGTTTGTAATTTCAAATCGAGGCTTACCGAGAAATCGGTATGGATTTTCATTGGCTGATACATTCTCTTCGATGCTAAGATCTGTGTTCTTTGAAAAGTCAGAGGCTGCGCCTTTACTTTTATCTGGTTTTATAATAAAATACCTCTGTCTGCTTTACAAGGAACAAAAAACGCACATATCTTTGTTTAAAAAGTAAATTATCACATGTATTTTCATGGGAGTCGACATCTTGTTAGTCAGTTTAGCGACCTCTACTGGTTACAAAAATTAAATAGGAATCAAACCAGACTCTCGCTCGGGCAAAGTCTCGAGAGCGAGAGTCTGGGGAAAACGAGACTAAAACATATTATACATAAATATTTACATTTCCAATGTCTTTGTCCGAGATAAAATTACCAATTGTAAATGTAATTTATTTCCTCATGAATGTTTTGGCGCGATTCCAAAAAAACCAAGTGCAGGGCGGGACAACACCTAGAGAGAAGCAGGCTTGGAGCCCGTGGATTGGCGGAATCAAAGCATGTAAATATAAGGAATAACTGTCAGATTTTTCGAATTCATGAAGATGATCAATGGATTGGCTTGTGTGATAATTTTATGCATAAACACCTTCGGCGTTTATGTAAATTATCACACAAGCCAATCCATTGATCACTTCATGAATTCGAAAAATAAGAAAGTTATTCCTTAAATAAACCTAAATTGGTAAAAATATTAAATCTATAAACTACTTAAACTGATCTACATGTACTTTTGTGACTGAGCACTTAAGATACACATGTACTCCCAAAAATAATGACTCATTCTGTCAAGCTGTACACATGGAAACTGAATAATATACTTATATCACTTTATGATTCTCCTTCGCTCCTTCACACAAAAAAAGTGAAACTATTTTCTGGGTTTATTGATGTATTATATAGAGTGTTTTAAAAGACAAGAAACATTGCAAGAAATTCACATAAAGCGAACTTCAAGAATGAAATGTTCATTCAATCATTCCATCAGTTTGTAATGGGAAAGGGGAAAATGTATGGCTTGACTGGGAATCAAATTCTAAAGTCTGGTCAATCTTATTTCCTTTTACACATTTTGTTTTACAAATGGTGCTATGTCATTACCCAGAAGTGACAGGTAAAAGACCTGCCAAGGAAGAGCCTCTGTTGATGTTTTCAGAGGTTTTGGGGGGATGTACATTTTAAGGAGGGAGGATTGTGGCAGTGAGATTAGATCAATTGCTGGTGGCCAGATAGCTCAGTTGGTAAAGCACCTGATAGGAGATTCAGGGGCCCAAACTGCATGAGTATTAAATCCCAGTCTGTCTTTCACATTTTTCTCCTCTCCTGCTATTACACTCTGTATACATATGAAAAGATAATGACTGATGAGACATTTCCTGGAGATGTCATATGGGGGACCTTTTGTGGCCAGAGACCTTCAAAAGGAGGGATGGTGGTCACATATGGGTTGAATCACTCAAGTTGCCAGATTGCTCAGTTGGTACCCCGAGTATCTGGTTTAGCTTGGTTCAAATTCCATATTCTGGTCCTTTGCATCTTCTGCCTTTCTCCTTACCAATTTCTGTCTAAATATGATATCAATGATATATATTCCCTAGACAATTATATAATGTCCTTGCCCCAGGATCATGAAACAAACTTAGACTTCAGTCAAAAAGTCAATCTCCTGTAAAATATTTATTATTTATTGAATAAATCTCTAAATATTGCAAATAACACCGCTTTTGTAAAATAATTAATATATTTGAAAACATGCAGTTTGATTTTGGTCAGTTTGATTTCCACAACATTTTAGTGCAACAGAAATTTTTTGACTTAAGCTTAAGATGCTTCATGATCCCAGGGCCTTGACCTTAATTTGTTTTAGATTCTTAGTCAATTCTAAAAGCTCAACAGTGATTAGGCCTACTACAGTCTTTTACTTTGGTGCCCGAGCCTGTGCAACACACCTAACCCTGTCACAATACCTAACATGATCAGATGTCCCAGCGCTTCATTCAAACTTTCTACACAATATCTTTATACATACCTTTAAAATAAGGACAATCCAAAAAACAGAGTAATGCCAATCCATCAGATAGCAGTCCAATTCCTATATGAGCACCTTTAGAATTATTCCATGAACACGATGAAGGTGAACACAACCAGGCTGGTATAAACAACGAATATTAGCCTAGTTATGCCTAATTGTATCATAGATCTAAATTTTTACTCTTGACTTCTCCATGTTGATAGTTTTCTACTCAGTCTGGATTTTACTTTCGTTTTGAAGTTGAACAGTTTGCAGAGTTTTCGTTCTTTTTAAAAATACCAGTAATCGATCGCGTCATAATTTAATATTTGTACAAAATACTGCAGAAAAAATAACATTACCAAAAAAAAAATTCTGGCATTACGTAGGCCTAGTTAGCTATGCCTACGGGGCAGAAGTTAGAACTATTTTTCATAAAAACGCAACATGTTGAAATATTTGAAGTGTGCTAATATCGACCATATTATCGCATCACAGGCACTGTCTTGTTTCGGTAATAATTAAGTTTTTAACCCATATATATGGCACGCCAAATTCACAAAAATGAGATAAACCTAGTTTCACATTTAACAAACTAGGTTTTTCGACTGTAAACTATAGTTTACAAACCGTAAACTATAGTTAACGATTCGTTAAGTATAGTTAACGATTCGTTAAGTATAGTTTTCATCTGTAAAACTATATTTAATGGTTGTTAACTATAGTTTACGAATGATAATCTAAGTTTATCTGTCTGTAATAGGCGTTAACAATAGATTTTGTTGATAAACATACATTCACGTTTGTAAACTATAGTTTACAATCGTAAACTATAGTTAAGAGTTGTTAATTATAGTTTCACAAATCGAGAAACTATATTTATCAGATCGTTAACTATAGTTAACGGTTTGTAAACTATAGTTTACTCTGTTTTGAAATCGCAAATGATTGTTTTCAGTGTTAAGTATAGTTTACGGTTGTGAAACATAGATTATCGCGTTAACTATGGTTTACAGATGTAAAATATAGATTAACGTTGTTAACTATAGTTTACAGTCCGTAAACTATAGCTTACAACCGATAAACCTAGTTTATCGATTGTGAAACTATGTTTTGCTCATTTTTGTGAATTTGGCGTGCCATACATATAGTATAATAATAGTTATCATATATTATACACTGTATACAAAGTGCTAATCGAAAATCTACTTGATTTTATGGAACGCCATGGCTGCCTTATGTTAGATGATTATATTATATGCTGTGGGTTTATAATTATATGCTGTGGGTTTATAATTATATGCTGTGGGTCTATAATTATATGCTGTGGGTTTATAATTATATGCTGTGGGTCTATAATTATATGCTGTGGGTTTGTTATTATATGCTGTGGTTCTTATATTATATGCTGTGGTTCTATAATTATATGCTGTGGGTCTATTATTATATGCTGTGGGTTTGTAATTATATGCTGTGGTTCTTTTATTATATGCTGTGGGTCTATAATTATATGCTGTGGTTCCATAATTATATGCTGTGGGTCTATTATTATATGCTGTGGATCTATTATTATATGCTGTGGGTCCAATATTATATGCTGTGGTTTTATAATTATATGCTGTGGGTTTATAATTATATGCTGTGGGTTTATAATTATATGCTGTGGGTCTATAATTATATGCTGTGGATCTATTATTATATGCTGTGGTTTCGTTATTATATGCTGTGGGTTCATAATTATATTCTGTGGTTGTATTGTTACATATTCTGTCGGTTTATTAGAAACTAGCTATTCAAATCTGGACTTCTAATTTTTTTTAGTTTACTTGCTCAAAAAATGGCGGCTAACCGTAATAGGAATGAGAGAGTGGAGTGCTGAATAGGATGGCATTACCTGATCGGTTTAAATGAAGAACATGTACGTAATGTTTTTTTTTTATTTTTTAAAAGTAAAAATATTAATGTTTGAAATAAATGAGGGAATGTATGAATATTACAGAAATATAGAAATACCAGGGGGATTGTAAGAGCGGGGGTTGATTTTTTTTTTATGGAATGTAGGAATGTAACAGAAATATAGAAATACCAGGGGAGATTGTAGGGGTGGGGATTGATTTTTTTTGGGGGGGGGGGGGCAGAGTGTTATTTACTGCCGATACCTATAAGTTAATTTTTATCAACTGCAATTTTGACCTATAAACGCCATGGACCCTATATTTTGGGGGGGATTTTTTTTTATAAGCGCTTGGATTAAAGTTTCAAACGATGCCATAAACTACAAATATTTATCATATTAAGAGCAATCTGATGCACATTGTTAACTTACTTACTTCCTTGGACATTATCAAATGCATCACGCTATACTAATCATTGGCGTCGGAAGCAAATTGAAAGTGAGGGGGGGGGGGGGGGGCTAAGTGTTAAAAAAATATATATTTAATCAAAAAACCTGACCAGCAACAAAAAAAAAAGAAGGAAAATGCCCTAATAACGAAAATTCTATTTCGTGTCGTGGGGGGGGGGGGGGGGGGGGGTTGTTAGGTTCGACGAACTTCTGTAGTACCTAATTTTTTTTCTAAACACCACCAATTTCCCCATTTTTAACCTATACTGCGACGTATCTGTGGAAAGTTGGAGGGGGGCTAAACCTAAGAAACAATGTTCAATGTCTAGACTAAGTGTATGTTTGGAAAAAAAGTTGGGGGGCCAAACCCCCCTAGCCCCCCCCCCCCCCCCCGGTTCCGATGCCTATGCGAATATCTACATTCTTCTCACTAACCCCCCCCCCTTTTAACAAAGGACATAACTCCTATCTCCTCTCAAATCTCAACACACCAAAAACAAATCCTTTTTCTTTTTTATATGTACATGTATATTTCCTCTCGGTGTATCGTCAAATAAAGAGCAAAATATCATTTTTCTTGACCTTAAATTCACTGAACATTTTAAAAATTAAGATCTCTATAAGGAAAAGAGTACCAATTATTTTCCCACAGAACTCTATACAAACCTTTTGTCCTCTCACTACTATACTAATTTAATTTCAAACAATTCCTTGGAATCGTTTGAAACTTTATTCCAGGCGCTTATACCCCATTGTACCCCCCCCCCAATATATATAGGGTCCCATGGCGGTTATAGGTCAAAACTGCAGTTGTTTAAAAAATTAAAAATTAACTTAAGTAACCGCCAGTAAATAACACTCTGCCAAAAAAAAAATCAACCTCCGCTCTTATAGTCTCCCCTGGTATTTCTATATTTCTGTAATATTCATACATTCACTCATTTATTTCAAACATTAATAATTTTACTTTAAAAAAAACATAACATACATGTACCTCATTTAAACCAATCAGGTAATGCCTTCCTATTCAGCACTCCACTCTCTCATTCCTATTACGGTTAGGCCTGGTGCAGTTGCCACCATTTTTTGAGCAAGTAAACTAAAAAACCAGAAGTCCAGATTCGAATAGCTAGTTTCTAATAAACCGACAGAATATGAAACAATACACCCACAGCATATAATTATGAACCCACAGCATATAATAATGAAACCACAGCATATAATAATAGATCCACAGCATATAATTATGAACCCACAGCATATAATTATGAACCCACATAATTATGAACCCACAGCATATAATAATGAAACCACAGCATATAATAATGAAACCACAGCATATAATAATGAAACCACAGCATATAATAATAGATCCACAGCATATAATAATGGACCCACAGCATATAATTATAGACCCACTGCATATAATTATAAACCCACAGCATATAATTATAAAACCACAGCATATAATTATAGACCCACAGCATATAATAATAGATCCACAGCATATAATTACAAAACCACAGCATATAATTATAGACCCACAGCATATAATAATAGATCCACAGCATATAATTATAAACCCACAGCATATAATAAAAGAACCACAGCATATAATTACAAATCCACAGCATATAATATAATCATCTAACATAAGGCAGCCACGGCGTTCCATATGATTTGGATCACTTGCTATATTGCTTTGGGTACTCTGATGCATTATGGGGAAATAAGAAAATTCTGCAGGATAAATATAGGTAAAAGTAACTTTAAGAAATTAGAAAACTTATTTTACCTTTATAGAATCAATGTAAATTTATTTGAGAAAATTTTTAAGTTGAAACATGTTAGAAATTCGATACCATTCTCATTTACTAAGTTAAAATGGGATTTTCAATTGTTCTTAATTTTTTTTCAAACTCTATTCTGTTGTAAAAGTTATTGTATCTAAGTTTTCGCCTAAATTCACCCACGAAGCATCATCTGATTTCTATAAATTACGCTTTTTAGAGAAATTAAGCTAATCTTGTTTTGAGTGAATGCTATACTATGTTTGCAACATATTTTTGCGATGGCTATACTTTTTTCGGACCCTTTTTGTAATTTGCATGTAATTAAAATTCATTGTTTTTTGATAAAATTATTGCGAAAACAGTTTTGAAAAAAATATTGGAATTTATTATCACAAGAGAAACATTTATCAGTCGAAAGAAGTTAAACAGAAATAAATCAATATAGAATTTGATGAAATGTGCTATCATTGCTGGTGTTTGTGCGAATCTTGATTTGCGTTTCGTCGCGATTGATACAGAAATGCTATGTTTGATTTGCGTAGAATACTTCTTGATGAATGAAGGCGTATACAGGGGGAGAATAATCCAAAGACACTGTCTCAAGTTTATGTCATTAATAACCTATTGATAAATACACTAATATATTTTCACTTATGTTTTAAAGGTATGTAAAACGGAAAAAAAGAGCTTCACAAACTATTCGAACTTTTTCCAAAGCTCACGATAGGCGTAAGACTGAATGCGTTAACCACGATATGCTACAGTGTCTTCCTGATGTTTGTGTGTCAGTTTGCTTTAAAGAAACGAATTTGTTGAGACGAATAAGGTTTTTCAAACTATCATTTAATTTATCTTGGGTCGGTTTTTTTTTTTGGCTTACCTCTTTCACCAAACTGTTATACCTTTGTTTTTATACTAAATTTGATTACGAAATGTTCGGTTTACTTGATCAACACATAGGGCTCAGAGCGGATGTGACCGATCAACAAGGGATGCTTACTCCTCCTAGGCACCTGATCCCATCTCTGGTATTCCGGGGCGGGGGTGGCCGGGGGTCCGTATTTATGCCCTGCTCACATGTTTGTATTGTTTGTATATTTTTTCGACATAAATCAATATACAATTATAGCCTTTTG